AGGATAATTTGTGACATTCAGCTCAAGTGTAAGTATCGGTCTATGTTTTGCACCATATGCACCAGGATACTATGCATTTGCCTTTTATTGTTCTTATTTGATGCCCCTCCGATTGATCTAAAGTGGAGATGCCATCTTTGTAGTACACGTGTCCATCTAACTCAATGATCTCGCCAATTATACTACTGTTTCTCTAGGAGTTCTTTGTAGCATGGTCCTTACTATTGTCGATTGTGTATTAGTTCAATGGTAGTATGTTGTCTTAAGAGTTTGGACACTCTTGGTCTTTGAAATTGGCGGTGTATGCAATTGAGTTCTCCCACATGAGTGGAAGAGACCTTGTCAACATGGCAAAGAAGAGGACCAATTTGATCTCCACTTGAGGATGTCGGTCCCAGCAAGAGTCTTGGATATTGGTTGGCATGGTTGATGCTATCTTCTACGATGTATACGGCTGACGTGTATTCCTATCATTTCCTTGCAACACAAAGTGTGCGATTCACTTATCATCACATTGTTGAATTGAGAGTTTACCCGTATTCTCGCCTTTTATGTTGTTTTCATTTCTAATTTGGCAATATTGGTCTTAGCACATGATGAGCATACTCGGATTCCCCTTGAGGGACATCAATTGGATGATGATGATTCGAGGTGATTCGATGCTGTTATGCCCTCTGTTTTCTCGTTTATATATGGTTCCAACAGTGTATGTGATATCTATAAATAACTGCCATTGCATCTGTTTGGACCATTGTACTGCCCAAAACGAGTTTGTTGCTTGATGGATTTATAATACTAGTTATTAGTTTCATAGCGTGTTTATATACATATACAATATAATTGTAGTAACAATATATAGTATTTGCACTATTTGAAACGTGTAATTTTCATATTCTTGTGTTGTAACTTTTGAAGACCATATTCATTGTCTATTTTTTGCAACAATGGAATAAAATTTGTACTCATCAATTTTAATTTGTGGTAGAGACTCGTTTCTACAAAGGATGGGATAGATACGTTAAGTGTGTTTCTTGGGCAACCCTTCAAAGAGTGTGTTTCTTGGGCCAATAGTTCAATTCTAGCCCAGTAGAGCACCAACTTCAGTTAGCGGGTATTGGATCATGCATACATTAAGGTTTGGCACCCAGTAAGGTTTGGCGGGTTTGAAGCGGACCGTTAATATTGATTAGTACGAAACAACCAGCTTTGAATGTGATCGTTGGATCCAGATCTGATGGCCCTAAGACGTTGCCTGAAAAAATGCTATATTTCAGGCGACTGAAATATAGCAACTCCCTATATATTCATCTGTCGCAAAGCCGTTAGAAAAATAAAACTTTATGTGCAAACATGTTAGGAGGACCATGTCTCATCGCATTGTTTTAGGCAACAATAAAGGATTCTTGGCATTTTAAACTGTATCACTAGAGAGCGAGTGCAATGCACAATACATGGTGCACAGGGAAGGCGGCGCCGAAAAGACTCTCTGTTGTGGTACTGTAGCCGTTGTAGAGCCAGGCGTCGAACGGCTCACCTGCCGTACCGTAGCCACATACAGGGACAGGCGTAGAAGTCAGTCCTGCTGTGTTATCTAGTCATTGTTGCAGCAGGGACAGCTGTACTAGGACTAGATGGATAGAGTTGTATATATAGTTTGCCACTGCAACTCAACAAAGAGAGTTCAGGTTTGTCATCTCCTATACAGGGCTCCGGCCAACGCCGGTGCTTGTACTGTGTGTGTATGCTCTGTTCTCCCTCTTCTTCTACCTCTAGCCATAGTGTGTGTGGTCGGACAATGCTTGTTCGTGGTCAGCATAGCTAGTGGGTTCACGGCAACACTAGCGGGTGCTCGGTAAGACCGGTGAGTGGTCAACTCACCTGAGCCGGTGATCCTGTGGGCCAACAAGGGCACCACTGTAGGAGTGCTCAGCCTCGACTTGATCGTCACCGACGCGTGCACGGAGGACATCAACAGCTTCAAGCGCGAGGTGGCGGCTCGTTTTCGAATGAGCGATCTCGGCGCACTCTCCTACTACCTCGGCATCGAGGTGAGACAGGGGAAGGAGGAACCCACGCTCGGTCAGAGCGCATATGCCTCGAAACTGTTGGAGCGAAGCGGCATGGCTGAGTGCAAGCCATACGTGACTCCGATGGAGGAGCGGCTGAAACTGACAAGGCCAGCACCTCGGTGAAGGTGGATACAACACTCTATCGGAGCATCGTCGACGGTCTGCGCTACCTAGTCCACATGAGGCCGGACATTGCGTTCGCCGTGGGCCACGTCAGTCGCTTCATGGAGCATCCCAGAGAGGATCACTGGGCTGCGGTGAAGCGACTACTGCGCTACATCAAGGGGACGGTAGATTAGGGGATCATCTTCCCAAAGACCGGCGGGAGTAGGTTGCAGCTCACTGTGTTCAGCAATGCAGACATAACGGGGGACATCGACGGACGACGGAGCACCTCTAGCGTGCTCGTCTTCCTTCGGTCGGCTCCAATTTCATAGCTGTCGCTAAAACAGAAGGTGGTGGCGTTGTCTACGTACGAGGCAGAGTACGTAGCGGCGGTCACAGCGGCGTGCCACGTTATGTGGCTGCGCCGGCCGCTGGACGAGCTGACCGGCGTGGAAGCTCACCCACCAGCACTGATGGTGGACAACCAGCCCGCCATCGCCCTCGCGAAGAATCCGGTTCTGCACGACCGGAGCAAACACATCGACGTGAAGTTCCACTTCTTCAGGGACTGTGTCGATGTAGGACAGATCGTCATCGAGTTCGTCGAAACTAGTCCGCAACTCGCGAACGTCCTCACCAAGCCGCTCGGACGCCTTCGACTTACGGAGCTGAAGGAGATGATCGGCATGGAGGGGGTACAAGGGATAGCAGTAGGATTAGGGAAAGAATTGTTAGATAATCTACTGCTTTCTTATGTGAACACACAGCAAGCTCCCTGTTGTGGTACTGTAGCCGCTGTAGAGACAGGCGCCGAACGTCTCACCTGCCATAGTGTAGCCACATGCAGGGACAGACGCAGAAGTCAGTCCTGCTGTGTTATCTAGTCACTGTTGCAGTAGGGCAGTTGTACTAGGACTAGATGGATAGAGTTGTATATATAGTTTGTCACTGCAACTCAACAAAGAGAGTTCATGTTTGCCATCTCCTATACAGGGCTCTGGCCAACGCGGGTGCTTATACTGTGTGTGTATGCTCTGTTCTCCCTCTTCTTCTACCTCTAGGCATAGTGTGTGTGGTCGGACAACGATTGTTCGTGGTCGGCATAGCTAGCGGGTGCATGGCAACACTAGCGGATGCTCGGCAAGACTAATAAGTGGTCAACTCACCTGAGCCGATGATCCTGTGGACCAACATTCCTGAAAGCGACAACGGATAGCATCTCTTAATCTGGCAAAGTGCCAAGACAAGTTCCAGACAAGAAACCAATTGCTAGATTGATGTACGAATGGCCGAATGCTTAATGCCTGCCATTTACCAACCAAGCAAACACTACATCGTGCAGTGCTAACGTTAGAATGTACTATGGAACACATGGTCTTACATTTGGAACAAAGCCACGTTCTCTGTAACAAAGGCTTGTAAGCACCTTAGTGGACAGATTTGGGCATGGAAAAGCTGATGTCAAAACTCAAAACAAGCATAAGGTGTTTTGCTGGCTGCTGTTAAGGAACAGGCTGAGTTCCAGAGAACTTCTCAGGAAGAAAAACATGGAATTAGAAGATCACAGCTGTGTTGTGTGTGACAGCTCTTCAGATGAAACTTTAGTCCACCTTCTCTTTCTCCTCAAAAATCAGCTCCAAGTTCCTTTCTTCATGGAGATAATAATCCTAATGTGTTGGACAATCTGGAACTAAAGGAATGGTCTGATCTTCAACCAAGCCCAGCCATCTCTAGCTTCTGCCAAAAGGCTTTTCAAGTCAGAGTTTGCGCTTCTCTTACTGCACGCAAAACGCAGTTACTTCCCCATCATAGATCAATGGTTAAACCTCCTTGATTAATCTTTTTAGTTAGTCTCATTTTCTTCCTCACCTTTTTTGTTTCTTAATTTTCTCCCACCCCTCTTGTACTTCTGCTGTACTCCTATTAATTTTTTTCTAATAAATTCAGGAGGGCAGGCCTCTCCTGTTTTTGTTAAAAAAAAAAGAATGTACTCCCTCGGTCCCTATTTATATGTTGTTCTAACTATATTTATAGGTATATAGATTCAAAGCATCTTCTGTGTATCTAGATATGTATGTCTAAATTCAGATAATCTTTAATGTATGTAGTAGAAGGCCAAAACGACAGATAAACAGGGACGGAGGGAGTACTAGTACTAGAAATGCAATTTGTTCATATATAAAAGCATTTGGCAACTTCCATATTGAGTATGGTAAAGCTAATATCGACATAAAAGAGGATATAACACTCGAATTCGGCCGTGAGATTCATGCCTGACTTTGTCTTCTTCAATTTCAGGGAGGGTATAGGAAAGAGAATATTACCACTGGTCCCCCTGCTTGTACAAAATCGTGTCCCAGGGAAATGGATACAAATACACAGTTGGCCTGGTTAATTTGGTGGCAGAACTTAGCTGTCACAAAGTTGTGCATGTTCGTCTGTATCTATACTCATGTACTAGTATAGAAATTTTGGTTGCCTCCACAAATAGACACGAGACAACTCGACAATCGACATGGCTGGGAATTCATCGATATGAACCATTTGTCAAAATGAGAACCCGATAGGCAGGCAGACGAGCACCAATGGATCCTTGCTGATGTGAGATCTGATGCAGTCAGACGAGCGCCCATGGATTCTTGCAGATGTCTGACGCGGCTGCACCGGGCGGATAGCCATATGCATGCACCTCTCTCTCCCTCTTATTATCGATATCCACAGGAGCAGAAAGCATCCAACAGCAGGCTCTGACCTCTGACCTCTGGGGCTCTGACAGTATACCACACCAGCGCGGCAGCGCACACACGCTACTTGCTAACAGCCTCCATGGCCATGGCCGCGGCTCCTCCTCCTCCCCGGCCTCGTGTCATGGTGCTGCCCTTCCCTGCCCAGGGTCATATCATGCCGCTCATGGAGCTGTCCCACCGCCTCGTCGACCACGGCTTCGAGGTCGACTTCGTGAACACGGACTTCAACCACGCCCGCATCCTCACGGCCTTGGCGGCAGGAGGAGAGACCGGGGCAGCTGTCCACGCCGGGATCCACTTGGTCTCTTTACCGGACGGCATGGGCCCCGACGGCGACCGCGCAGACATCGTTCGGCTGGCTCAGGGCTTGCCGGCGGCGATGCTCGGCCGCCTTGAAGAGCTGGTGCGAGCTCAGACGACTCGGTGGGTGGTGGCTGATGTCTCCATGAGCTGGGTACTGGACCTGGCCGGAACGGTGGGCGTGCGCGTCGCCTTGTTCTCGACCTTCTCGGCCACCGCCTTCGCGGTAAGGATGCGTATTCCCAAGTTGGTAGAGGATGGCATCATTGACGAAAATGGTAAGAGCAAACCAAACCCGATTCTGTGTCATCTGTACTCTTCAGATCAGAATTCAAGCTGGGCATGGTGTTTCCGTGCGCAGCAAATGTGAAGAGGAATGAAAGGATCAAGCTGAGCCCCAACACGCCAGCCATCGACGCCGTCGACATCCCCTGGGTTAGGCTTCGAAACCCCATGATAAAGGGCATGATCAAGACCAACCAAATGTTCGCGCTCGCTGACACCATTGTCTGCAACACGTTCCATGCCATCGAGTCCGAGGCGCTGGCACTCCTCCCCAAGGCGGCACTAGCCATCGGCCCCCTCGAGGCGCCGACGTCGAACTCAGCCAGCCAGCTCTGGCCCGAAGACCCGACCTGCCTCGCCTGGCTCGACGCCCAGGCACCCGGATCAGTAGTCTATGTGGCATTCGGGAGCTTTACGGTCTTCGACACTGCAAGGCTCCAGGAGCTCGCCGACGGGCTGGCGCTCACCGGACGCCCGTTTCTGTGGGTGGTCCGGCCAAACTTTGCCAACGGCGTCGATGAAGGCTGGCTGGACCAGTTCAGATGCCGCGTCGGAGACAAGGGCCTAGTCGTCGGCTGGGCTCCCCAGCAGCGCGTGCTCTCGCACCCTTCTGTTGCATGCTTCATCTCGCACTGCGGATGGAACTCCACCATGGAAGGGGTGCGTCACGGCGTCCCGTTCCTGTGTTGGCCATACTTTGCCGACCAGTTCATGAACCAGAACTACATCTGCGACGTGTGGGGCACGGGCTTGAGGATTGACGCCGATGAGCGGGGCATCTTCACCAAGGAGGAGATCAGGGACAAGGTCGACCAGCTGCTCGGTGATGATGGGATCAGAGCGAGGGCACTGTCTTTGAAGAGAGCAGCGTGCGAGAGCATCACAGATGGAGGGTCCTCGCATCAGGATCTGCTCAAGTTTGTAAACCTGCTGAGAGAACAATAATCTTTAGCTTGTCAGATTTTTTTTTTTTTTTTGGTCATTCAGAAGTAATTTGGTTAGATAAATATTGTCTGCAGAGTCGCATTCAAAGTTGGATCGACAGACATGGAGAAAAAGATCCGCCGTCAGTGTTACTAGCAAATGAATTGTCACCTCATGGGCCACATACTGATGAAAGTGACACCTATAAATCTTAAGAAATTGCCTTTTGTATATATCAATCTGGAAAGTTTTTAAAACAATCTCTAGGTGTGCAAAGTGCCTATGGAAGTTGCAAAGTATAACGGACTACTAAATTAAGCAGAGGAATGCTGAATGCCTGCCGCCGAGCCACCAAAACTGAGCCAGCAGAGCACTACAAGTTTTTTTGAATTTCAGAGCACTACAATTAGAAGTCGACCTTGGCAAATGTTCACCAGACTACCAGGAACGTTCATGATTCAGAGTCACTATCTCAAATAACTAATTATTATTAGGGAAGGAATTACACAGCCGGATAGATGCAGGCTTACCTAAAATAATGGAGATGTTCCATGAGACCAGGCCATGGCATTGAAGTTATTTCCAAGACACAATCTGACTGTTACTATTTCAGCAGAGTATGCAAATCAGCGTGAGGTTTCTGCACAAGTAGATGAACACTAAACATCAAAACAAGAAAAAGTTTCCGAACAGAATGTAATAGGTTAACCATGATTGTGATTACCTTTTGGACATAATGGCGTTTCAGACATATGCTGATTTGAACTTTGAAGTTATAGCCAATATCCAAGAAATAGCTGTTCTAAAAAAAAATCTTATTTTTCAGATGTTGCCATGTCATCACCTTAGTTGGTGAAATTCCAAGGGAGAATTGTAATTTCCTTTATATGGAAGACCAATATCTTTTTATGCATATAACGGATAGGCACAACCAAAACTAGTAGAAGAGTTCGGCAGCAGGCATCTCAGCCACGTGCATATAAGCGAATATATGGCGGTTATTTTGCTTGCCCAGCAAGATAGACAAAAACAAAGTGGTCAACCGTGGACTGAATGATTGTGAAGATAACCTTTTCTTTGGAAAAGATATACCTATATTCAGCAGGCTACAAATTTGCTGATGTATGGTCTGATGTAACAACGATGATTTTGGCACCCTTTATATGCACACTCGATGGACCAATCTGGTTATACCTACCCACAAGGAGCAGCAAGCATTGACCCCACAAACTGTTTGTAGCCACAACAGAAACAAGAAACAAACTTCATGGCTTTTGCTGCTCCTAAACCTCATGTCATGGTGCTACCCTTCCCTGCACAAGGTCATGTCATTCCACTCATGGAGTTGTCCCATAGGCTAGTTGATTACGGATTCAAGATTGACTTCATAAACACCGAGTTCAACCACGATCGTATCTTCAAGTCCATGCAAAACAAAGGAGCAATCCCTGAGGGTTTACACATGCTCTCAATTCCAGATGGTATGGACCCTGATGATGATCACACAGACATTGGCAAGATGGTCGGGGGCTTATCGGCTGCCATGCTCAGCCCCCTTGAGGAGATGATCAGAAGCAAGAAGATAAAATGGGTGATAGCAGATGTGTCTATGAGCTGGGTGCTAGAACTGACAAATACAGTGGGAGTACGTATTGCTTTGTTCTCAACTTACTCAGCATCTGTGTTTGCACTAAGGATGAAACTGCCCAAACTGATCGAGGATGGTGTTATTGATGAAAGCGGTAAGAAAGAATCAAATCATCTTTAGCATAAATTATTCCATACTGTCATGTTCCTCTTTACATCCTATGTCTTAGTGACCAATGCAAGAACATTTTGAATTTAATGCAGGGAATGCGAAAGTGCATGAGATGATCCAACTGATGCCACCCATTGATTCAACTGAGATCCCCTGGGTCAGCCTGGGCAGCACCCCAGAAAGACGCAGAGTGAACATACAGAACGTGATTAGGACTAACAGATTGATAGTGCTTGCTGAGGCCATCATCTGCAACACATTCAGAGAAGTAGAACCTGAAGGGTTGGCTCTCATCCCCAATGCATTACCCGTAGGTCCACTGGTAGTGCCGATGTCAAATCCGACTGGTCATTTTTTGTCTGAAGATCTGACTTGCCTCACCTGGCTTGACAAGCAAGCCCCCAGCTCTGTCATTTACGTGGCATTTGGGAGCTCTACTGTCTTTGACGTGACAAGATTCCATGAACTCGCCACTGGACTTGTGTTATCGGGCTGGCCGTTCGTATGGGTGGTTCGGCCAAACTTCACCAAAGAAATCAATGAGGACTGGTTCAACCAATTCAAGCAAAGTGTCAATGGGAAGGGACTGATCGTTACTTGGGCTCCCCAGCAAAGGGTACTGTCACACCCCTCAGTCGCTTGCTTCATGACACACTGTGGGTGGAACTCGACGATGGAAGCTGTGCTGCATGGTGTCCCATTCTTGTGCTGCCCCTACTTTGCTGACCAGTTCTGCAACCAGAGCTACGTGTGCAATGTGTGGAAAACAGGCCTGAAGCTTTGTTCCAACGAGCAAGGGGTCGTCACAAAGGAGGAGATCAAGGAAAAGGTCGTGCAGCTGATGAGCGACAAGGATATCAAGGCGAGGGCAGTTATGTGGAAGAACATGGCATGTGCAAGCATCAGAGAGGGAGGATCCTCTCATGCGAACTTGCTCAAACTTGTGAAAGTGCTACGAGAAGGATGATGTTTCAGAATTTAGACTCAGTTTCCACATACAGTTTAGTGCAATAATTCAGACTTTGGTTTGATTAATCATTTGCTATGTCAGTATCTATATATGTAATGTAACCCATAAAGCCCTTCTTTCAATAATTTGGAGGGAACCAGTGCAGTCCAATAAAATGCATTCATCCTGTGCAGGCTATTCTACAGGAATTCCACAGATGGTCGAGTTGTTGATATAGCAATTCTTAAAAAATAAAACAGAAGGATCTTAGAATTGATCTCATCCGTCTTGACCCAACGGTCGAGACGGACCCCTTGACCGTGTCCTGATCGGGGACGTCCAGCCATCTAGTAGCTAGTGAGCCCCCGTCGCACAGTGCCTATAAAGAGGAGGTGGGGCAAACGGCTCTTGACACGAGGTTCGCTGCCGCCGCCACAACCCCACCGTCTAACCCTAGTCCGATCGAGAGGGAGGCACTGCCAGCGGCGGGAAGCGCCACTGCTTTTACCACCGCCGGTCTCCACCGCTACACCAATCGTCGCTGCCTTAGCGCAGATCTTCACCGGCGAACCTGTGATGGCCGGATCCGGCTCCTCAATGCCTACCGATGGTCTGTGGCTGACCCTAACTCTCTCTCTCTCTCACACTCTCTCTGGATCCATGTGTTCTAGTTCTTTCATACCGAATGGAAGTCAAAATACCCACTGATCTACTCCTAGTCGATCCAAAAGAACTAGCAATGGTATCAGAGCCGGTTTGCAAGGTGTAGATCACGGCACTGGGCAAAGAAAAGAAAAGAACAGAGCTAGATCCAATTTGGATCGAAAGAAAAGAAATACAAAGGGTTCATCGAACCCTAAACCCTAATCGGGTGAAGAAAAGAGGAAAGAAGGGGTCTCGATTTCGAAAAATACTCGAACTCTAACCCTAACCGCGCGGTAAAGGGCACCACCACCAGACCGCTCGACGACGGCGCGTCCACCTCGCGGTGGGCGCGCACACCGGTGAGGGGACTGGCGGCGGCGCCGCCACCGACTCCTCCTCCGATAGGCCATTGGGCCACTGCTGCTCCTCTGAGTGCGGCACGAGAGTGAAAGGAGGAGGGGAAGAAAATAGAGGGGGGGGCCGCCGCCGGGACCACTCCGGGCGGCATCTTCCTCACCGGCTAGGACGGCCCAGCACGATGCGAGCCGACAACCGAAACGGCGGCAACCACATAACTTGCTTATGGGTGTCGAGGAGTCGCGAGAGAGAGAAGGGAACGGAGGAAATGAAGCTAGGTTTTCCGCCCGTGGGTCGACGGATTAATTTAATTTTTGTTGAAAGCCCCTAGGCGCCTTCGAGGCGTCGGATTAATAGTTAAAGTTAAATTATGATATTGTTATTATGAAGGCCGAGATTGATGGGCATCATGTATTTTTCCAAATGAAGTTGATTATCTTGTGAAATTGAACCAATTAAGAATTTAATTTTGCAGTAGTTCTATGTTTTAGAGAGCACTTTGTCGCCCAGCCCACGTTGAATATTTTTTGCGAGGCGGCTTAAGGGGAAAAGCAGGCACTTGTGAGGAGAGGGCCGGGCTGAATGTTGAGTTGGGCCGAGCCTTTTAACTTTTCTTTGTCTTGGGCGAAAAGAAAAAGAATGAGCCTGGTTTTTTGTTTTTTCTTTTTTCCAGAAAATGAAAAAATATATATTGGCTCAAAAGAAAATAGAAAAGAGAATTTTTCCTATGGGTAAAATTTAAGAAAAGTAAGTCGGGTCGTATCTCCGGTTGGGCCGAATGCACAGTGGTGATTAAGAATTAATTTATTATTTTCAGAAGCAAATTTCGATGATTTCATTCAAAGAGTGATTTAAAATCTCTGATAATTATTGCACCAACGTGTTAGAATTTTCAGAGAGTAGAAAAGTACAATAAAATGCTTCTGAAAAGTAGAAAAGAAATTTTGTCAATTTTCCGCTGCGAAGTTAAAATTTGTTGTCTTCTCATTAAATTCGAATCAACGGGATAATTTAATTTGAAGAGCAGTTATAGTTATTCAGAAAATGATGAAAAGTTCATTCTCCAGTTAAAATTGGAACCAACGAAAAATTTTACTTGGAGGAATAGTAAGTTAATAGTTAAAGTTAAATTATGATATTGTTATTTTCTGATCAACGTTGATGATAACAATATTATAATTCTATGAGTTTTATGATTAAAGTTTAAATCTCTGATGAATTTTGCATCAAAGTGACCAATTTTCAGAGAATAGATAAAGATCAAGGAATGATCTTAAACTAGATAAATGTATTTTTATGTTTCCGCTGCAATGAAGTTGATTATCTTCTAATTAAATTCGAACCAACGGAAGAATTTAATTTTGATGAGTAGTTCTATGTTTTCAAGATTATTGAATTTCTATACGTTAATTCCATTTCTGCCCAACGGTGATGTGGAATTAATGTAGAAGAATGATGTTTTATTCTATTTCTGCCCAACGGTGATATAGAATAGAACATAAAGATTTTAAAGTTTAATGAGCATTATTGTTGAATATTTTTTCAGACAAAAGACTTCAATGTTTTCATTCTTAAGGCAGTAAGAGAAATGAGCTGGGTACTTGTGACTCAGATGATAAAATGACTAAGGACAAGTTATGTATGAAAGAATGCCATTGTTTTTGGGACTGTGTTCTTTTTTAAAGAATGGCTTCAAAAGAAAAGAATTCTAGGATATTGATCCAAGAAAAGAGATAGTTCAATAAGAGTCTTCATTGAAAAATATCTTTTATATACTCTCTGTGAAGAAGAATTTATTTTTAATTTCACTTATGAGAGTTGTAAAAGTCTTATACATAAACATGTGTGTTAAAGAGTATTCGGATTTATTTCTGAATTTAATGATTGAACATAAGCCAATCCTGACATTTATGTCCATTTAAAAGAATTATCTCACATGACGAAAAAAGTTTGTGATAGTACCCGCATGGCAGGAAAAGTTTGAGAAAATAGCAGCAAGGCGGGGTAAAGTTGGCATAGTACATATGTTAACCAATCCTGCATGGCGGGAGAAGGATGTGATGACTCATGTGCTCTAAGTGTATCCTACACATGGAGAGAAGTTTTGGGTAGCTCTTATGCTATCCCAGTATTGACCGTACACTCTGATTGTGTCATGGTCATTAAGTACTCAATGAGTTTAAGAACAAAAGAAAGTTGCATGTGAACCAAAAGATAAGAATGATATGTAAGCGTGACTTGCAGAAGTATTGATAATAATAGACTATGTTGAGTTTTGAAGTGTAATGAGAAAAATATACTCCCATACGAATTTTGTTTGCATGATGTAATCATGTGAATGAAGTAAGTAATCAAAGTTTCCTCATTCATAAGAGTTCTGAATGTTTTGAAATTATGGTAGAAAAATTCATACCACATTTCGAAGGGAAGAAATGTAAGATTAATTAAGAAAGACAATTAAGAAAGATACTTCCCCATACTTCAGATAATGAATGCATACTATGCATTGAAGGTAAAAGTGATTTATAAAATATGAATGTGATCGTTGAGGGAGTAAGACGGTTATAATAACGATACCCCTAAAGTAAAGAAATAGCTAAATTCATGGACCTTTTACAGTTCCGATAGGAAGATAGCATAGTCGGCTAGTATTCATACTGGACGAGTTCAGAGTTATCAAGGCGGTGCTAAACGCGCCATATGAGTTTTTTAGCAGATTAAACCCAAAATAAGAAATTTGAAGATATACCATCTTTACAGAAGATGGAGTAATCTGGGGGGGCATGGTATGTAGATACCTAAAGCTTGAATAGAAGTGGGATTATATATCCACTACAGTGTTTTTAGAGCAACAAATTGTTTTATACATGTTGATGTTGTATGACATATACAACACCAGATATTAGCTCTTAAAGAAGATGAATAAGTAAACAAGGATCTTATGATACAGGAGGCTATAGAACAATTGCCTTTTGGTAATGAAGAGTAACAATAGCCCCATATGAAAGAAGTGCCACGAGGCCCCAGAAGGTCTCAAAGAATAAGAAAATCAGATATTTCTGGTGACTAAGGAGTCAAAGTTAAGAAAGAAATTCAAATGGAGGGTAATTCCACCTCATTTGAAAAAGCCATGAGAGGCGTTCACTCATCTAAATGGCAAGAAGCAAAGGAAGATGAAATTAAATCGATAAATACCAACGATGTTTGGAACTTAGAAGAAATTTCCAATGAAGCCAAAACAGTAGGTTGTAATGGGTCTGCAAGACAAATGTGACTCCAAAGAGAATATGGAAAGCTATAAAGAGAAGGAATAGATTATAATAAGCATGAAAGGATTCTTTTAGAATTATAATGGTGTTAGTGGCACATTACGATTTACAGTTACATCAGAAGGATGTAAAGACACATTTCTCAACGGAGATTTATATGAAAAAGTTTACATGGCATAACTCAAAAGGTTTTGTCATGGAAGAAAAAGAACGTAAGGGATGTTGTCTGAAGAAATCCATTTATAGATTAAAGCAAGCTTCAAGACAGTGGTACTTAAAGTTTGACAGTACAATAAGAAAGTTTGGGTTTTAAAGAGAATGTAGAGGACAATTGTATTTATGCAAAATTTAAACATGGGAAATCAATTTCCCTAATCCTGCACGTGGATAGCACCTTGCTCGCTAGTAGTGGTGTTAATCTACTGTTGAAGAAGAAGCAGTTCTTGTCCTCAAGTTTCAATGAGAATGATCTTGGTAAAGCGTCATTCGTTCCAGAAATTGAAACTTACTGAGACAAAAAGAAAAGGGGTATTAGAACTATCTCAAGTGTATACTTAGAGAAGATTCTAAAGAAATAAAGTATATATGTGAATAAACCTGCGTCTGTTCCTATAGTCAAGGGTAATAGTTTTGAAAACTTTCAGTGTTCCCAGAACCAATGTGAGATCGAAAGGACGTCCTATATGCTTCAGCTGTTGGAAGCTTAATGAGTGCTTATAAGTAAGAACTTACCCTGACATAGTTATA